AAAACAAAGGATAAATATTGACACAAACCACAAATTCAATGTGAAGAACTGAGGGAGGTTAGTTGAGATTTATAGATGTCCAAGATGAAATATCTTCATATGAGGAATGGCCAGGCAGTGGTTCATCCATTCACAGTTTGATGTCCTTTGGTATTTAGGAAAAAAGAAAAATTAGTCATGTTCAGGCACAGCCACTGTAGTCATCTTTCTGATGCTGATAACTAGGTCTTCTTTTCCAATTCTGTCCTTGAGAAAATTCCTCTCTTCTTGATGTCCCCCAAATGTTCTGGGGTTTCTGGGCCTACCAAGGGGTGAATTTATCCTGTCTTGATAGACCTTTTGGAACCTAGATTCTGAAGGTGTCAGAAAGAAAAAAGCAGTTCTGCTCACAAAAACTGTAATTTAATATTGATACAGGTCACAATAAGCTAAAAAAAAAAAAAGTTGTCTTAGCTCAGTATGATTTGAAGCTCTAGATCACATCTTCTGAGCCACCCTAGGAAACATGCAGCTTCCAGGTATTGGAGATCTCTTGCCTGGCTCACTAGACTGTCTGGTGTAAAGGAAATCATCCTGTACCCCTCCGGATTCTTCGAGGTTGGTAAATAATCAAGCAACGAGACAGGTTGATAAAAATCTAAAACAAATGTGATAACATTTATTCCATCTACATATATGGGAAAGAATCAACATAACTAACTCAAGAATTTTGAGTTTTTATTTCTAATTGATAGAAAATAAAATAGAGAACTTTGAAAATAAATTTTCCTGAGTAATAAAAAACAATTCTGGGGTATAATAATACTCGTGTTATTTTTTAAACAGTTTTCAGTATGTAAAGTACAGTTAGTAGCACGCATTTAATTTGCTCAGTAGAGATTTCACCTCCCTCTTTTATCATATTGGTTCTTCATTCCCTAGATAATAATTTTTGTTTGATACGTATCTTACAATATAGTTGGAGCACTGAGCTCTTAAAAAAAATCAATAGCCTTCATATGGAAAATTACAACTCTAGCTAGAAAATTCACACATTTTGGATACTTACTTTCTAATGTGATTTGTCTAATTTTATCATCATAATAGGTCTTGGGTAAGTATTGTTTTCTTTTTCTTTTTTTAAAAAGATTTATTTATTTATTTTTATACAACCAGAGCCAGAGCGGGGAACAGAACAGGCAGACTGAGGAAATACAATGCTGAGGGGAGCAGCGGGCGTGGCAGGAGAGGTCTGTAGCGCCATGTGGGACCCTCGCCAGCGATTGGGGATCAAACGGGCACTGCAGAGGCTGCGGGCAGCTTCCCAGAGCGCTCAACCACTGCGCCATCAGGGGAGGCCATGAGTAGGTATTGTTTTCATAACTAACAGTCAATAGAACCCAGGTTCAGAGAGATGGAGTCACTTTACCAAAGCAAGTGACACGAGTCTGTATTTAAAGTTCCATATTCTGATCTTAAGTCTAGTGCTTTTCTCATGATTTGATAATATTCCACAATAAACTGTTGGAAGTAACTTACTGTGGTTGTTGCAAACTATGCATCTTTAAAGCAAAGATTATTAAATCTTCTAGGGAGCAGAGAGCTTCTTTCAATTGTTTTTAAGAGAATAAAACCATAAAGGAAAATTTTATTCTACAACATAATGAATATTTTATAGGAGAAAACTTTTCCAGGCTGTGCACTGTGAATCAAGGCCACACAGGGACAAATGAAACTCCTGAGAGCAAGAGGCAAGAGAATGTTGTAAAATAAGGTAAAATAGTAGTCAATCAGTGACCATACAGAGTCAGGAAGGTGAGCGATTCAGTCATTGTGGCTGAATATGATACACAATAAGCACCTTTTGCTAAGTCATGAGACATAAATGACTTGGGTGTCCCTAATCTTGAGCGATTCAGGTAATCCTAGATTTATTTCTGTTTCTTTATGGATGATTGTCCTTGATTATATCACTCCATCTCTGAGTCTCACATTGAGAGTTAGTTAAGTAGACAGAAATGACAAATGACAAATTTTAATCAAATTTCCCCCAAAGCTGCACCAGGTACATAGATCTTAGTGAATTCAGGAGAATGTGGTTCTCTGTCATTTGAACTCTGTGACATTATCCTACAGTGTATCACAGCAATTAAAAAAATAACAAGTCATTGCAGACACCTACATGTCCTTAAGCTTATGAAAACTGGATTTTCTAGGGCTTGGTGGTATGTAAATTACAGATATCAACTTTCACTTCTCTAGTTCAGTAACTTTCCTCTTGCTTCCCAGACATTAACCATAGTTTTTTAGGCTACTGGACTCTCTCTGCCAACATAGGTTTATGACTCTAATGGATTTGTCATTTTCCTGCTGGAAAGGAACTGAAAAGCTAGTGAAAACTATCATTTTCAAGCTTTTAAATGACTTTTAGGTTAGTGCTAATAACTTCTGAATCTATAGTTCATAATTTTTGGTTAAATCATATAATTCTCCTATTTTGTTTACAGTCTCAAGAGTCTTAGCATAAAATGCTACTTTCATCATTCTAGACCCTTAAGAAAAATTACCTGCCAGTTTGAATTAAACGCAGTTCCTTTTGTAAATAAAAGAAAACTGTGCTGTTCAGAAGTACTAAACAAATCCTAAACATTTTGTTCTGATACTTTAAAAATGTACACAGGAGGATTAAAAAAAACAAGCAACATAATAATATGTTTCAATTATTTCTTGTTGTAATTATATGTTACTGTATGAATAAGTTTGTTATAAATTATGCAATAAATATAATTATGTTATAAATATAAATATAATTTATAATTATTTATATAATTATAAATATAACATAATTATAAATTATGTTATAAATTAGTTAGAGATCATGGAAAACATATAGCAAGGTAGCAGACTGCAATGAAAATTATAGCATGCTGGATTCAGATGATTCTAGACTCATTTCTGTTTTGTTGTGGCTGTGAGACCTCATCTGAGACAATCCATCTCGAAACTCATATTTCTTATTGGTGAATTGGGATAATAATATTTGCCTCCTACACATTATTGACTGAATTTTACCCCACATATTTCAAATATAATATGTATGAGCCTCATGGCACTACTTACATAGCTCCTTATCTTAATCAGTACTTCCACTAGGTAATGTGGTGATTTATATTGAGTAGTGAAAGGTATTTTACTTATAGGTGAAAATAACAGGAGGTGAATTTTCTATGGAAAAGGGAGGGACACAGTTCTCAACTCCATCGTGGGAAGACCTCCCGAGTATTGCTTTCTGTGCTTTTTGCCTAGGAAAGTACTATCTTCAGATTGACTAAAACACTTCCTTTAATTAATTTAGAGAACTCCTTTAATCAAATTGAGGCATGTGCATGGCTAGGCTATGAGAATGGTTTGGGATCACTGTCTGGAACATACAAGAAAGGACCAAAGATATTTTTCTTAAACAATGCAAGAATTAGGGACTTGATAGCTATCATTGCTGATTTTCAGAATGATCATATGTAGGGAAGATTGGACTAATTTTATGAACATTTGAAAGACAAGACTAGGATGAACAAGTGGACATTATTACTTGTAAATATTATTTTTGTTCACAATATTTTATATAAACTCTTTATAATCCTATTCAATAGGTTTCAGTAAGAATGCAGTTAGTTCATTTTGCTTATTTTCCAGACAAAACTGGAAATATTTGTGAAGTCACTAAGTTTTAATCCCATATAAGTTTCAATTAGAATTATTTTGCTTGAAAGAATTATCCTTGTAATATGAAGTCTGCTCATAGTGAGAGTAAGGTATATATCTTTAAATATTCCTAAGAATATTTCCTGTTTGTAAAAAAAATTAAAAATTTACTTCAGATTATCCTTGCAATTATTGATGAGGTTATTTCCAATTTAGTCCTTGTATTTTATTAATACTGTGTTTATTGACATGGTAAAAAAAAAGATGACTAGATAAAGAATTTACTGTATATATACTCAATGTAATACTATTGAGCTATCAAAAATCACGACTTTAGTACCTTTTGGGACAAAATCAATGTAACTTGAAGCTATAATGCTAAGAGTCATTATGCTAACACTGATAATGTTTGAAATTGTTTCCTAATGATTTTGCTCTATCTCTATAACTTGTTATTTCTTAGTGACCTTAATATTAATATGACCAATATAAAATTTAGTCCATTCCCTCTTTTAACTATTTTACATTCCAAATTTATTGAATTCAAATAAATGATTTTGATTACAGTTATACTTAGGACTCATTAGCATAGCCATCTACATAATTGATCTACCCAAATATTTTTGGAAGATAATAATCTGAAGAAAAAAGGATACTGCAGTGAAACTTTATATCGAAAGTGAATCTTTTCATTTAAACAGTTGATGAAAATGATTTGTTCATCTGTTGCTGTAATAAGGTTTTCTCCAAAATGTGTTCTTGCATCCATGTAGATATTTGCAATATTAAGATTTTCAGCTATGCCTGAACAATACCACATTGGGTTCTTCTGTTATCTCCTATCCTCCTGTGTCCTCAGGTTGCTTTTATTTCAAAATCCAAAATAAAAAATTGGCATCCAGACCGCCTACTTGGGAAAGTCCACTGCTGTCCTCCTCAGTATCTTTGATGATTCCTGGGTCATGGAGATTAGAGGTTAGTTTTCATTTTTGTGAGCGGCAGTCTCTTCCTCTTCGCTGTCACTCTGAGCGCCTGCCACTGATGTCCTTTTCCCACAGCGGGCTCCATTTCATCTCTCTTCTCACTTTTTCATAGTATCATTGTCTGATTTCATACCTGGGTATCTTTTATTGATGTTTTAATGAGTGCAGCAAGCACAGAAAACAACTTAATTAAATACTTAATCACTGTTGTTGGAAACATTTTGCATCATTCACACATTGTTCCTTCCATTATTAACACATGATCTTCCTCAGTGGCCATGTTCCTCTGGATAATCCCCTCCTTCCACCATATTGCTGGAACTACTCAGCTCCACTCTCTCTTTTCTCCTGACTTGTTCTCAAAAATGTTACAACTTCCCACTTGTACAGAAAATTTTAGTTTTTTCATTGTTTTATCTCCTCTTTATAAACCACACCTTGGACATGGTGGAAGTATGAATAAGAAGTTACCTTTTCTGCTAAACGAGGTCCATCAAGGTATTTTTCTGTACAAAAAAAAAAAAAGACAAGAGAAAGTACAACCTCAGATTAGTATTGACATTTCCCTTAAAACCAAAGTCACACAGTCAGTGAACCTTGACCTTATCCTCAGTCTCTACAGACAATAGTGCCTTTTTGACAGCCTAAGGTAAGGTAAAGACTGTCCTAAGCATTAGTACTAGGGGAATGTTCTGGCTTGTCTCTCTTCACTTTATCATCTGTGAGATTGAAAGAAGGAAATTTATGTTATAGACAACAGGAATGAAATGGATCTTTTACGTTAAACACAAGAAACTTCAAAAGATAGAGAAACAGTTTCCAGGACCACATGAGTCTTACAGATTGCTTTTGAATTTTTATGATGTTCATTATTTGTAAGCATCTCTCTTTAATTATATGGCTTCCATAACAGTTTTCTCCTCCCTTCTAAAGGAACAAATTATGTAGAATCCGTCTATGGTTAAAAGTCAGCATCTGATAAAAATGTAAGTAAGAATTTGTTCCCCATCATAATTGTGAGGAATCATGGTTCCTATTGTATAATTAAATAAGCAAGAATGCAGAATAATGAAATGACTCTCAACCCATACATCATAGACTGGCACAGTTGAAGAGTAAGGTCAATGAAATTTGTTTCTGACTCACTTTTTAAATTTCTGGGTAAAGTTCATTCTCTCTAGAGTGCATGGAGCTGTTTTTATGGGAGCAAGAAACTTGTGTAGTAAGAGGAGACTGTTCATAATCAACTCATTAAACTTAAGAGGGTAAGGATAAGAGTCAACTTCACAGACTGTGTGATCCAGGTCAGTTAACTGATGGGTAAAATTTCCTTGTTTTTATATATCCTCTGTGGTTTGGAGCCTTGCAAATTGTACATTGTTAAAATAATTTCATACTCTCATTTTCAAAGTGTTTAGGCTATCATTTATTATCAGCAAAATGCAAAATATGAAATAGTCAGGAATATGTACATAATAAATTAGTTTAAACAGAAATGACTGGTCATGGGTTAAGAGTAATGATATTACTTAGTTTTGTATCATCTTGCCAAATCCATGGGGAGCATCACAGTTAAACACAGCAAGAGAATTCTGTGACTGAAACGGATAATAAGTAGGAATTGTCTATCGCCAAATAAAAGTGTCTATGGTAGACACTTGAGTCTTTTTGCACCATAAACTGCTAGAAAATATCTCCTCTCAGCTTCAATGGGTTAAGAGACATAGTCTTCTCATAGTTATAAAGTAAGAACTCTTAAATGGACTAACTTGTAAAGCACCTTAAACAATTTCTGGGCTTACGTAAGGGCAAAATAAACATAAATTTTCTTTTAATGCTGCCTTTGAGATTTTTAAACAAGTAAAGGAAAACTTTTCGTAGGACTTGCAGAAAAAATTTTAATTCCTGTGCAAACTTTGAATAAAATTTCAGGATTTTTAAAGAATTTTAAAATAATGTTTTACTAAATTAGTTGGTTTTACTGTGTTTTTAAAAATTACTCAGCTAAGATGACAGTAAATAACTTACTTTTGAGGTAATATTTCCCACCTTTTAGACATAGTTATGGGTAAAATGCAAATTTGGTATGAATTTATCTAAGAGATAAGAGATATCCAATAGTCTTTTTCAGAGTAAGGACTGTCCTGAACAGCAGTACAAAAGGAGTGTTCTGGCATGTCCCTCTTCACTTTATTATCTGTGGGATTGAAGGAAATCAGAAGTCCAAGCCCTCAGATATTTTGCCCCAAGTGCTGCCAACTATACTAAATATTTGTCTGTAAATAAGCACTACAATTGTTAGCCTGTCTGATATTTTTGTCACCTTCCAATCTGCCTTACTTTTCCAGTTGCACTGTGTAACCTTTTATCCTTGTTCCTGGGGGATTTTTCTAGATACTTGATCACTTTCCCTGACTTCTTCCTGCTCCTCTAACTGGTAAGTAGTAACCCAGATTTTTCTCCTGACTTTGAATTGCAGCATTTCCTAGGGGATTTGTTTATTTTGTTTCTGATTCAGATGTACTATGAAGTTACTCTTAGTGTTTTTTTAGATTTTGAAACACTTGCCTGACGCCCCTCCCCACCAACCCAGTTCCAATGCAGTTTGTGGACTTGTTAGGGTGTTGTATGTGGTGGCTGTTTGATTAACAGTTGCAGATTTGATTTCTTGATACTTCAAGTCCTTTATTCTTACTTTCCTATTGCTGCTCACAGTTTGACAGGCTATATTTATGTAATTAGTAATAAACATGCAGAAAGAAAGTAGGGAGATTTTACCTAGTGCTTCACTGATGTCAGACTCGGTCTATTCACAGATAATTATTCAGTGGGGCAATTTTTGTCCCTGATTTGGAGCTACTGTGCATCTTGTACATAGAACTTGGGATAACATTTTAAATAAAGAATGAAAACCCAGACCATATACTTGGTGTTTTGTCTCAAAAACAAAATATATGGGGAGTTTCCAATATATGGATGCTTTGGTGTTAAACTTTAGGCATAATCTATATTGCTATCCATGTGGATAGCAATAGATATTTTATTTGATATGGTTATTATCCAGAGATGTAAATCATCAAATGAACCTTAGTAGAAGGAGTTACATATTGGAAATAGGAATAGTAATTTAAGACAAACAATAAAGATATACATTAAAATATCTATTAATATAAAATGAAATAACTCTGGTAGTTACCTTCTTCTATTAAAAATATATTTAAAATTATTAAAAACCTGCCTAGACTGAGGTAGATTGTATTTATACAGATTAATAATTTCAAGTGACTTTTATTTTGTCATATTAAAGGTGAAAAAATTGTACGTGGTTACTCAAGGCAAAATTGATGATTTTTTAAAACAAAACTATTTGGAAAGAATTTACTTGTAAGTATGCATTCTTATATTGCCAATAAACTCATGACTATCACAAATGAAGGGAAACAGAAATTTATGTATAAAAGATAGTTGTTCTTTACCAGTTTCATTTTAACTTTGAGTCTTAAGATTCTATTAATGTGTAAGCAGTAAAGGGATACTCTCTGTCTGCAGTATTTTGTATTTTTTAATTTCAAGGCCTCTGTTGTGGCAGTCACATACTGATTAAAGACATTTGTTTTTTTTCATTTTTCTACTAATCTTTTAAGTCATAACTCGAATGATCATAAAGAGATGTAAGCATAAATATTTAATGTGCGGTTCTGTGTAGTTTATTTTCCCTAATACTTTAGTTTCCAACTCACTTTCACATTGCTAATCATTCATCCAGAGTTCCTGTGCATATAACTATAAACTCTGCCTCCCCAAACCTCCCATTACTCAATCAGTAAAATGGGGATCTTTGTAATAATGATAGTTCTAATTTCAGAAGGGATTCAGTGACGTAATACTTGTAAATCACTTTAGCATGGAGCCTTGAACATTATAAATATGTAATTAATGCTTCACTTACAATAATCATATTTTTATATTATTTCCCATTGTCAGTAATTATCATTGCTCTGGCATCTTTTTCATTGCTTTGACATTACCTTTCCCATATGTTTGTCTCCTTACTAATTACCTGCTCTGATAAGGTAGCGGTTATCCCTAGTCATCTCTATTCCTCAGGGCTTTGCATGGACCTGCATTATTATAAGTCAATAAATGTTCGACATTTGCCAGATTCCCAGCTTCAATGCTAAAGCAATAATAAAGTTTCACACTCTGGACTTGTAGAATGGCTAAAGAAAATGTTTCTTCATATGTTGGAAGGCAAAAGGATGTGTTATGTACCTTCCTAAAATTCTTTCAGTGTAATCTCTGATGAGTATTCTTGGGATTTCTGGCAGTCATTCTCTGTTCTTTCTGTGGGGTTAAACCAAATTCTTAGGGCCTTACATTTTTAGCACTTGGAAGTTATTTTACTTCCTGTTTTTGAGTTTAGAACTAAATGCTATGCTTTTGCTATTGTGTGCGAGTTTGGTGATGTTATTTTTTTTTAATTTAAAAACATTTTTTTTTAAATTTATACAATAGCTGGGGTACAGGCCAGATGTGTGAGAGGGTGAGATGATTTACCAGTGACAGAATGGGGCGCAGACCAGGCAGACAGACTGTAAGCACTGCTGAGGGGAGCAGCAGGTGAGACAGGAGAGGTCTGCTGCATCATGTGGGAATCTCCCTGGCTGGTCGGGAATTGAACCTGCGCTGCAGAATTCACTGCAGAGACTGCAGACAGTTTTGCAGCACTGTGCTCAAACTGCTGCGCCACCAGAGAGGCCCGGTGATGTTATTTATTTTATGTCTTTATCTAAACTCTGAAAATGGAATGGCAGAAGGTATCTTTGATCAGTCAACTCTTCTGTGTCAATTTCAAATATCAATAGAAGTGATTTTTTCCCCTGAATTTTCATTTTTGACAATTTCAAAGTTTGTGCAGTTTTACTTACTCAGAGACAATATTATTGGAGTAAATAGATTTCCTTAGATTTAACATTTAGTAGCTTGTTTTTAATATTACCATGTTTCTCTAGCCAAGTTAGAAGTAGTTTTGAGTCTCAGTAGGATTTGTCAGTTCTGTTGACATGAACACAGGTTTAACATTTAAAACTGAGTCCAAGATAGTATCAGAGGAAGTTCCTTGCTTCACTCCTGAAAGGATCATCCAAGGTATCTGGATAGGCACTACACCCAGACAATCCTCTGGCTTGGGATAAAACTGGAACACTTCATAGAAATCAGAGACTGTAAGAGGTACAACCTCTGTGCCATTTTCTAACTATATTTATAGCTATAACTGTGGTATTAAAACTGAGCAGATGGTTAGAACAGGAACCTTGGAATTAGGTTTCTGAGGTTTTCATAGCCTCATTCTTGCCACTTGCTAAGGATGTCATGTTGGGTGAGTTATTTCAGTCTTTTCATCAATATATCTGTCATGCAGGATTATTGTGAGTAATATTTCAGAAGTTGCCTCTTTGTGTAGTCCCTGAAATTTGGTTTAAGATTTGAGAGTTCTGTGAAAGAT